TTCGTTTCGTTTTCTCTCCCTCTCTCTCTCTCTCACCTCCTTTCCTCTTTTCCTACCAATTAATTTTCGATGAGATCGAAATAATTATTATTATTATTATTATTATTAATTTGTGTGTGTGTAGTTATGCGACCAATATATATATACCTTTTTAATAAATGCAAAATTTTTTTTTTATTATTAAATCACTAGTAGCATTGGTAGTTTTTTTTTTTTTTTTTTTTTTTTGATTCGAACGCAGCATCACCTCCACCACGATCACCGCAAAAACTACAACTACTACTACCACCTACTACTACTGCTGCTGCTGCTACTTTTACAACTACTCCTACAACAGCTGCTGTTGGGAATATTAAACGATTTATTAAATGCTTTTTCTTCTACTTTTTTTATTCCGTCGTCGAGGAATGAATTTTTTTTTTTTTTTGTTTTTGAAATCTAACTAAATAATATCTATAACTTTCTATTCGGCTATAGAATGTGTGTAACTCATTTTCCTGTTTCCCCCCTCCCCCTCTCTCACACACCGTTAAGATAAAATACTTTTTTTTTTTTTTTTTTTTAGCTAAGTACTAATTTTAAGTTTCGTACCAATTTTTTTCCCTCCTCCTCCTCCTCCTCTCTTTCTCTCTCTCTCTCATTAAATTGAAATTTAAACGCATTTTCGTTTTTTGCTTTCTGTAAACCTTACTTACAAGTGAACTTCGAATGATTTTATCGCGTTCGGTACTAAAAATGGATTCGTGCTCGAAAGGGTTTCGTTATTTTCCGTTTTGGTCGCGACCGCGGCCCATTCCGCATCGAACGGATCCTTCAATTTCTCAACGTTGTTACCTCCGCCGCTTTGCGAATTGAAATTTCCCGAATTCAATGACACCGTTCCCGAATTCGTACCTATTCCCGAACTACTGTTCGAACCAATACTGTTTTGTGAACCCTGCAATGCGGTCGCTATGTCGTCCGACGAAACGACGTTCGTTCGACTCGGATTGAAATCCAATATCCCATTGAGTTGAGCGTGTCTGAGCCCGGACGTTTTCGCGAAAAAATTATCGGAACCCAGGGAATGAGCTCTCAGGTGAGCCAAAGGCGGAGTTTTCCGCGGAGTCGGACTCCGGGATGGACTCGTCGTCGTCGATGTGTTTGCGACGACCGTACCGAGCCACTGTTCGGGTTTGGGTAAACTTTTCACGTTACCCAAATTCACGGTCGAATCCTTTGACGAATCCCACGAACTGTTTGAATTATCCGCGTTCCACTGGGACACGGGACCGCCGCCGCCGCCGCTTTGAAACGAATAAGAATCTATTTTAGACTGAAAATTACTAATTTGAGATGCTGTCGAATCTGAAATCGATTAAAAAAAAAAAAAAAATTTTTTTTCGTTATTTTCAATTTTCATTCCCATCCCATAACGAGTTCGTTATTTTTAATATTTACCAATTTTGTCAATGAAATCATCACTGGAAAGCAACGATAATCCTTGTGATAATTGTTGACACATTGCACTAACTGGATCTGAATTACCTTTTTCGGGAATGGGTGCTATTTCAGGAATGGGACTCACTTTAAAAAAAATAATAATATAAACATTATATTATTATTACCTTTTCCCTTTTCTTTCTTTATTTTTCTTTCATAAAAAGAAAAATATTAAACAACAATAGAAAATATAAACAAACAAACAAACAAACACAAACCTTGAGATTTAATTGTAAGTGGCAATCGAACGTCGTTTCCTTCCAAACTAAGACTTCGCTGACGTTCTAAATTAGAGGGTAATTCACTTATTCTAAGACTAAGTTGACGTTTAAATGGCGAGGCTCCCGGCAATTGCGAAAAACCTCGGAAAGAACCTTGCCTTTGTAACATTGACGGGGTTGCGTGTGGCCTTTCAATCGCATACGGATTGTAAACTTGTTTCATGGGAGGAGGATCTATAATAATAAATAATAATAATAATAATAATAATAATAATAATAATAATAATAATAATAATAATAATAAAATTCTCATAAACGAAAATAAATAAAGTAAAATAATACACAACAACCATTCACTAATTAAATATAAATCGAATTATTGAATCTACGGAGGGCAACATTTCGCAAAATTAAATTGCATACAATAATAATAATAATAGGAAAGGTACAAAAAAAAACATCCAGTATCTCTCTCTCTCTCTCTTTTATTTTTAAATCTCTTCTAAAGTGCAGTGGGGGGGAGGGGGGGTTAACATGGTTTCACAGTACAACGTCGTCACTTTTAACTTATTAACGACAACAACAACATTTAGGACCGAAAACAATTATTATTACTATTATTATTATTATTATTATTATTAATATATTGATCGATTTTTTTTATCCCGTATTAATGCTGACGATAATAATAATAATTATCATTTTTTTTTTAAATTGTAAATCTGTGAAACCGTCGGGACGAGTAGTGCAAGTAAAGAGATTGAGAGAAGGGGATAAAAGGGGGGGGGGAGGGAGAAAACAAAAAAAAAAAAAAAGTACTTTACCAGCTCCGGGAATATCTATCATAACGGCCACTCCAGAATCTGCACGCGGAAAACAGCACATTAATTTTATTTTTAAAAAAAATTGAAAACAATAATTTCCTTTCACAAAATAATTACTATTCCGTTTCGAAACTTTTCAATAATAATAATAATAATAACGACAACAACCATTAAAAAAAAAAAAAAATTTTTTTTCCTCGATTTGCGGGGAGAAGAAGGAGAGAAAAAAAAAATTCTTTCAAATGTAATTTTTTCATTTTATTACCTGCTCCGGGTTTTATTTCTTGTGGATCGGTGAGCCTATCCGTTATCGACGTGTGCCTGAATGAACCGGAACGTGTGAACGTTGAATTCTTGGCATCGAACGACATCGTCACACGACATTCTTTGTCTCGTTTTTGTTTTCTTTCGAGACAAGCAGCGAAAGCGCATCCGACCGCATGACTTAATCGTTCTCCCTATAAAATAATTTAATAAAAAAAAAATTACGAGCAACGTCCACCAAAACAGCAACAACAGCAACAACAACAGAAACAAATTCTATTAAATTTCTTACGGATTCTTTCAATGCCAAAAATCCATGGCACATCCATCTCCGTGTGGTTCCATCTCGGCATATGTACGAGAAACCTTTTTCGTGATTCCTATCCGGAGCGCAAAATGATACTTTCTCGATGGTTTGATCCACAATCAATCCTTTCGTTTCATCTTCGACAACTCTTAATCCGTCACCGGATACGTAGAGAATGGCTTTGACGTGACGTCGTCTCGTGTTACCCTGAAATTTACCATAAAATCGCCATTTTAATTTTTTCAAAAGTCGAGTTCGCGACTTTTCTTTTCTTTTCTTTTTTCCCTTTTTTCCCAAATACAAAAGTTTTTACGACAATAACTTTAATAAATAAAATAATTCAATAATATATAAACAATTTAAAAAATTGCATCAAAATTAATTTTTTTATTGTGGAATGAAGAGAAAAAAAAAAAAAAAAAAACCTTGAACGGTTTCAGCTTTTAACCTTGCTAATGCAAAAAAAAAAAAAAAAATTAAATTATAAAAATGCAATCGAGTTTTTTTTTTTTTTCTACATGAAAAAGCATTTTATTTAAATGCACAAATTAATTAAAAATAATACCTTCGACGCAAGTTTTATTATTATTATTATTATTATTTTTTCACTTTTATCGAGTTGTCGTCGATAAAATAAAATTTATATAAACTCACTCTTAATACTTTTAACGCTTCCTCGCAAACTTGCATTCCTCTCGATTCGAAAACTTCCACGCAACCCAAATATTTCACTTGAAAACAACAAGTTCCGGTCCTGACTCCGAGTTCATCCGCTTGCCACTGGTGAGGTTTAGAACTTTCCGGAACATGTTCTTTCCGTTTACGAAAAGAATCGCGAAAACTCCGTCTGAGCCTGTCCATTCGTCGAGGAGAGTTGCCAGTTTTTTTCGTAGATTTGTCCCGAAAGGACCGACTGAAGGCCTGAGAAGAGAAAAAACAAATAATAATAATGATAATAAATAAATAAATAAATAAAACGAAATGATTGACTCGCATGTCAAAAAAAAAAAAAGAGATGATAACACGATAATAAGGTGTTTGTTTGTTTGTTTGACAACCCTGAACCCCGCAAAGGGTGAAAAAATTAATAATGATAATAATAATAATAACAACAACAAACGATAATAATAAAATTAGCCTGTATAAAAAAAAAAAAAAAAAAAAAAAAAAATTTTTTTTCGCTAGAACGATCACACGAATTTCAAACTTTTTTTTTTTTTTACCTTCTACGTTAATAATTTTGTGTGTAAAATTTTTAAATGGCTACCATTCGTATTATTGTTTACACACATACCCGGGAAAAAAAAAAAAAAAAAAAATTAACCTCCGCGTTTGTTTATAATGGTAATAATAATAATAATAATAACAATAATTTTACACGAATTGTCATTCGCATATGCTAACTTACTGACAAAAATAAAAAAAAAAAAAAAAAAAAAATTATACGAACGAACAAACACTTTTAAAATCAAAAGGGAAAATTTTTTCTTTCATTCACCGTTTTCATTCAACAAACAAACAAACAAACAAAAGGTCAAATTATCGTTAAAAAAAAAAAAACAACAACCGAACCAAACAACCAAACTTTTAATTGATTTTAGTGTAAAACTACATCAACAACCGTCTTCAACTTTACAAAAAGAAAAAAAAAAGGAAAAAATAAAAAACCGCTCGCCATGATTTTTACACCGCAATGTTCAATTATTATTATTATTATTATTATTATTATTATTATTATTATTATTATTATTATTATTATTATTATTATTATTATTATTATCATCATTATTACGTGGATCGAAATCGTTCTAACCAAAAAAAAAAAAAAACCGTCGACGTATCGAAAATCCGGATTCGATAATTTTTTCCATAATTTAATCTCAACAAAAAAAAAAAAAAATTAAAAAATGAGTCAGAACAACAACAACGAAAACGCCCTGATTTATTTATTTTTTTGAAGATATTTATTGTTTTTGTGCATTCATCATCATCATCATCATCATTTCGTACCACGACAATCGACGACGACTACTACCACACACGCCTTTTCTCTCTCTCTCTCTCTCTCCCTACGTTAATAATAATAATAATAATATTCAACCTCGACAACAACAAACCAAAGTATAATTATTATTATTATTATTAAAAAAAAAAAAAAATCGCATTCCATAGCGTTAAAAAAAAAAAAAAAAAAAAAAAAAAAAAAAAAAACATGTGCGAGTAAACCCGTTGTGTTGTTCGTTCGAGTCCTCGAGCTTTTTCAACAACAACAAACAACAACAAGCAAATAAAATACGTATATAAGCTTTCAATTTCGAGAGTCTTTTAAACTCACTGAATATTTATCATTATCATTATTATTATTATTAATATTATTTTCGCTTCCAAGTTTTAATTTCAAAAGCAAACAAATATGACAAACAAACAAACAATCCGGTAATTTAAATATCTAATATCACCGTTTTACGAACCACCACCACCATCATCATCATCGAGCAGTAACTCGATAATTAATTAATACAGTTATTAGTAGGTAGACCCCCCTCCCCCCTCACCATTCATCATTTCCTTCAGTTTTTTCTAAAATTAAAAACCCGAACCTGAACAAAAACATTCACCCGCGTACCTCGATAGAAATTCGATCGAAACGATTCGGTGAAAAAATTTTCCAGGTTTTTTTAAATTTTATTTAAGAATCGTACGAGCTTCGTCAAAATAATAATAATAATAATAATAATAATAATAATAATAATAATAATAATAAAATAATAAAATAAACTCTCGACATTTTATTATTTAATCGACCGAAATAAAAAGAGAGAGAGAGAGAGAGAGACAAATTCAAGGATGAAGAAAAATATAATATTAATAATAAACGCATTTGCGTAGCAGAAGGCGCAAGAACGACGACGACGTGTTACGTACGTAAAGGTATAAATTTAACTTTTTTTTTTTTTCCTAATGTTCAGGTTCAGGTACGTACTCTCGAACGAATGCGATTTAATCATCGTCATCGTCATCATTATTATTTTCGTTACGCATATTTATATATGAACCTCGATACTTGCACAATAAAGTATTATTCATAGTTTAAATAATATTCGTGACCTCCCCCGCGCCTCAACTCGTTGACGTAAAATACGGCGGTGATTTTCGCGGAGGACGTCATTTCTCTTCTGACTAACTAAAGACTCTTTTTCGTGGGATTAACAATCGTGGGGAATCCAATTCACACATTTTACATATGAAAAAAAAAATTTTTTTTTTTCGTACGAGTGCCAAAAAACCGAACCGATCACCTCATCGAGATAATTTTTTAACGCGTGATAAATTATCAATAATGTATTATCATCATTATCATCATCATCATCATCATCATCAAAAGGCAATAATAAATGATGGCGTTTTAAATTTTAAATAATTTACGGGCGGAACGGCAAGAGAGAGAGAGAGAGAAAGAGAGAGAAATATAATTTTTTTTTTTTGATACGCCGCCATTTTATTATCACTACCACTACTACTATTACTGTGGGAAAATGTGAAATAATAATAATGAAAAAAAAGGAAGCTCAATGGTAATTAATTAAATTTCACTTAAAATCCCGACATTTTCATATTTAATCGACGGAAAGTATATGATGTTGCGTTGCGGTCATGTTTTTTTCCAAATATCCGTTTGTTGTGTTTGTTATCCGCGCGACATCCGCCGTCGCAAACAACCGATTGTTACGGATTAAAAAATAACGACCGCGTTTTCGAACGTTTCATTACACAACGGTAATCACGTTCGGAATTAACAAAACATTTTTTTCGTTAATCGCTTTGCGGCGCAATTGAAAACGCAATAAAAAATTTAAATTTTTTTTTTTCTTTTTTTTTTTTTTTTTTGACTTCTTCCGTCGTTACGAAATTTTGACATTTTTCATTTTATATATCGAATCGCACGCACGAACAAAATCTCCCTCGAGGGGATTTAAAAAAAAAAAAAAAAATTTTAATACGATGATTAATATAGAATTGATAATTTCACTTTTACAAAAAAAAAAAAAAATAAAAATTTATTTTCAAAACTTTGGTGAAACCAAAATGAGAAACTCGTTGGAGGTCATAATCAACGCCATGACATGTTGTTGTTGTTGTTGTTGTTTTTGGAATACGTGAAATATCTTTATTTAAAAAGTTTGACTCATTTTATTATTATTATGATGATGATGATGATGACTACGTATCCTGTTTTTGAATTTGAAAAAAAAAAACGCAACAGCGTCGTCTTTACCTATTATTATTCTCGCGTTCTTGCCCCCACCCCCGCCCCCTACCTCCCTCCCTTCCTTATCATTTCCCGATTTATTTTCCGTGAAAACAAATCTTTACAAAAAAATAAGAATAAAAATAAAATCATATTAAAATCCGTAATAGAAACCGAAACGATAAATAATGAGATTTTCACGTCAGCTGTTCCTGAAACTGTAAAAATGATCTGACACGATATGAAGAACCATTTATATAAAAAAAAAGGTAATTTTCAAAAAGTTTCAAACGATATATAAATGAAATTATTACTTTCATTCATGTCTGCGCTGTTGTTGTTGTTATTAATATTATTATTATTAATAAAAAAAAAAACGCGTGAAAGTCATCATTTCCCCCCCTCCCTCTCTTCTCTTCTTCCTTTTATTTTTAATAACTTTACAATGTTATAAACGCATTTATTCTCCTGCCCCGAAAAAAAAAAAAAAAATTTTTTTCGAAGACACGACATTTTTCATTTCTCGTAATTTTTCCACTAAATCGAAGCACCGGAAAACACGGAATAATCGTGTCACTAACTAAACTAAACTAAACTAAACTAAAAAAAAAATTAGTTGCACTGTAAAAAAAAACAAAACAAAAAAACAAAAAAAATAAAAACAAACGCATTCCAAAACAAACACAAAAAAAACACAAGAAAGGGAAAAAAGAAAAAAATTACACGCACCGAAACATTTAAATTCAATTACAACACAAACAACCACAAACATTGACACGTATGTACCTTAATTTAAAAATTGGCACACGCATACACACACGCACATGCACACACCACATTTAAACGAAGTAAAAATCGATTTAAATTTTAAAAAAACTGTTTTTACCCCCCTCGTAAATTTCCCTCCCCCAGAAATCCAACAAAAAATTAATTACACACACACACACATTTTATTAATGACAAAATTTAAATTTAAATTTAAATTTGAAAAAAAAAAAAAAAAAACAGAAAAAAAAAAGACAAGGAAAATTATTACCCTCGAATTTTATTTTTGAAAAAAACCCCCGCCCCCTCCCCGTTAATTTCGTCCATTAAAATAAATTCAATAGAAAATAATAATAATAATAATAATAATAATAAATTGGTACTTTCTTCCGGAGACAAAAAAGAAACAGAGAGTGACAGCATCAGAAGAAGAAAAAATAAAATCCGTAAATCCGTTAAAAAGAAAAAGAGAGAGAGAGAGAGAGATAGAGTATGTGTATGAGAAAGACAACACCAAATATACCTTATTATATTTCTTGGTGAGTCGTATTGCTGATCTATCCAAAGGTTCGTGGTGGGAAGTTGCCGTTCCCATTTTCAATTTAATTTATTATATTATATTTTTTTTTTTTCTATATATATATAAAAAAAAAAAACACCGAATTCCAACTTTGTCCGTTTGTTCGTTTGTTTGTTTGTTTATATCCTTTCTAAACGTTAACGTTCGTTTGCAATGTATATAATTATATACATATTAAAAAAAAAAAAAAAAACACAAAAAAGGCTTTAAAAAAAATAACAAAAACACACACACTTATTAAAACTTGATGAAAATCTCCTTTTTTTTGAAAATGTCCTCCTCCTTTTTTTTTTTTTTTTTTCTCCTCTTTTTCTTTTCTCTCATTTAATAAATGAGCCTTTCATTTTTTTTGTTTTGTTTTGTTTTTTTTTTTCCGCGTATTATTTTCCCGGTTTTTTAAAA